GCCACACCATACAGGCCAAAGGGCGTCATGCAGAACTGAAATAACTTGTGATCCCTGGTTAACCTTCTGCACAATAACCTCTCAATATCCCTTTGTGGGATCAAGAGCTGTGAGATACAGTTGGGCTCTTACCTGACTGACTGGCTAGAATGTTGAGCTAGGACATGAAGTAGGCATCAAACTACACATTTCCCCCCCAAATTCCAGAAATTGATATAGAAGTGTGTGTTGCTTTTGGGCGTAGGAACCAGTACATCTATCAGGCTAAGCCAGACACTCCTGTTTCTCACAGGAGGACAGGGAATTGGGAGGCTGTTCTGATATGTCCACATCCACAAAACACTTCATAGAATGACCAAAAGAAAGTAAACCCCAGACAAACAGATTTATGAGAACCAAAAATATTCCAGAAGAGACAGAATGCTGAGAGCACCTAACAGAGTTAAAGGGGAAAAGGTGGAAATCTGCCCACTAAAGCTTCCAAAAGAGTAGAAAATCCTGTTGTGGTGGGTGAGCTCTGGTTTCCAAGTTGCTCATCCCCATTTTGCACATTCTTACAGGCCCTAGGCTTACAAGGGAATGAAGACCAAGACAGAAAATGGCCAGGTATTTGCTGAAAAAAATTATACAATGCACACAACAACTTTTAATATAAACTCAGATCATATTGACTAAATAAATAAATTGAAGTTAAAACTACCAAGGAAAAGGGAGTGCATACTATTAAGCAGGGGTCACTTCCTACGGGAGTGCACAGGAGCGGAGCTCTGGCAGTAAGGAGCCCAGGGGGCAGGCACATGCAACAAGCCCCATCCCTGCTCCTAGCAGCCCTCAGTCGGGCCACGAGGAGCAAGAAGCAGCCAGGTAAGTTGCAGAGCACCCCCCCCCCCCGCCCCACCTCCCGGGACAAGCCACCCCACTCCTCTGTGAGGGCAGATCTGCGCATCCCCCCCCATAGCTAGCAATCCAAAACAGTCCAGTGGCTAACATTTAAACCTCAGTCAGAGCAAGAAGCAGTCAAGTAAGTTGCAGAGCCCCCCCCCAGCCCCCCCCCCCGGTCCAAAACAGTCCAGTGGCATCTTTAAGACCAAGTTTTATTCAGGTACAAGCTCTCCCTCCTCTGTGAGGGAAGATCTGCACATTCCCCCCCCCAATAGCTAGCAATCCAAAACAGTCCAGTGGAGCCTGAGCGGTGGGTGTTGCCTTCTGACACATCCGGTGATGTCAGGGTGTGTGTAAATAGGTCATGCTAATAAGTTATGCTAATGAGCCCCTGCACCTCTTTTTCTGCGAAATGACCCCTGCTATTAAGAGACTGAACACAGCAGAAAATAAGAAAGAAACAAAACGTTAAAAATTCTAGAATTTGGATTGGGAAAATCATGTGTGTATCCATACAAGAGTACTTTTGTATCTCCAGGAGGTTAAATTATTGCACAATTTATACAGTGTTTTATCTCCATTCTAATTCTGTGGTTTCCCATTTCACAGATAATAGCAAGAATGTAATAATACCTACTCAAGAATAATGGAACAGATTTTTGCCAGCCAACTGCAGCATTACAACTAATTACTCATTCCCTGATCAGCACAAAAGGGGTTTGAAAAAAGATGAATGAATGAACAGGGGAAATGCTGATCTGTAACAGGTTGTGAATGGCATTGTCTGAACTCTCTGTTAAAATGGAATGAAAGAATCATGGTAATTCAGACAAAATGGCTAGCCTGGAGAGGCTCTGTTTTTCCACTGCATGTAACAAGGGTGTGATAGGCATTTACGTGACAAGCAGCATGAGAATTTTTTGCCCAAGTCACTATCAGGCTGACCTTGTTTACACAAATAAATCTTGTTCTTGGAGAAGTTTCCTTCAACAACAGCCTCATCCTCTCTTTCCAAATTGCATATGATTGCATATGATTGGGTCAATATTCATATGATTGCATATGATTGGGTCAATATGTGTTCTAGTCGAGAGAAAGAGATTGAGTTTCTAGACACTCTCAATGACTGTGCTATGGAGCAGATGGTCACTACGATTCTAGAAGCTCAAAAAAAAAAATTCCGCAGGTTAGGAAAGGCACAAACAGGTATAGGAAAAAGCTTGCATGGTTAACAAACAAAGTAATGGAAGCTGTAAAAGGTAAAAAGGATTCCTTTAAGCGATGGAAAGCTAGTCACAGTGAGGCTGGTAAAATGGAACACAGGCTATGGCAAATAAAATGCAAGTCTGTGGTCATGCAGGCAAAAAGGGAATATGAGGCGCATATAGCAAAAAATGTAAAACCCAACAATAAAACTTTCTTCAAATACATTAGAAACAGGAAACCAGCCAGGGAGGCAGTGGGGCCCTTGGATGACCAAGGGGTAAAAGGAGTACTGAAGGATGATAGGGAAATGGCTGAGAAGCTAAATGCATTTTTTGCCTCCGTCTTCACTGTGGAAGATGAGAAGTGCTTGCCCACTCCAGAACCGCTGAGTTCGGGAGGGATGTTGAAAGACCTGAGTCAGATTGAGGTGACGAGAGAGGTCCTAAAACTGATAGACAACTCAAAAACTGATAAATCACCAGGCCCAGATGGCATACATCCGAGAGTTCTGAAAGAACTCAAATGTGAACTTGTGGATCTCCTGACAAAAATATGTAATCTTTCCTTAAAATCAGCCTCCATTCCTGAGGACTGGAAGGTAGCAAATGTCACTCCCATCTTTAAAAAGGGTTCCAGAGGAGATCCGGGAAATTACAGGCCAGTCAGTCTGACGTCGATACCGGGTAAATTGGTGGAAACCATTATTAAGGAAAGAATTAGTAGGCACATAGATGAACAAAACCTATTGAGGCAGACTCAACATGGGTTCTGTAAGGGAAGATCTTGTCTCACTAACCTATTAGTGTTCTTTGAGGGGGTGAACAAACATGTGGACAAGGGGGATCCAATAGATATTGTTTACCTTGACTTCCAGAAAGCTTTTGATAAAGTTCCTCATCAAAGGCTCCTAAGCAAGCTCAAAAATCATGGGATAAAAGGACAAGTCCTTTTATGGATCAAAAACTGGCTAATTAATAGAAAACAGAGAGTGAGTATAAATGGGCAGTTCTCCCAGTGGAGGGGTGTAAGCAGTGGGGTACCACAGGGATCAGTACTTGGTCCACTGCTTTTTAACTTGTTCATTAATGATTTGGAGTTGGGAGTAAGCAGTGAAGTGGCTAAATTTGCGGATGATACGAAGTTGTTCAGGGTGGTGAAAACCAGTGAGGATTGTGAGGCACTCCAAAGGGATCTGTCAAAGATGGGCGAGTGGGCGTCAACATGGCAAATGGGGTTCAATGTGGCCAAGTGCAAGGTGATGCACATTGGAGCCAAAAATCCTAAATATAAATACACATTGATGGGGTCTGAACTGGCAGAGACAGATCAAGAGAGAGATCTTGGAGTTGTAGTAGATAACTCACTGAAAATGTCGAGACAGTGTGTGACTGCAATAAAGAAGGCCAATGCTATGCTGGGGATTATTAGGAAGGGTATTGTAAACAGATCAGCCAATATCATATTTCTCACAATACAAGAACTCGTGGGCACTCAATGAAATTGCTCAGCAGTTGGGTTAGAACCGATAAAAGGAAGTAATTCTTCACCCAAAGAGTGATTAACACTTGGAATTCACTGCCACAGGAAGTGGTGGCGACTACAAGCATGGACGGCTTCAAAAGGGAATAAGATAAGCATATGGAGCAGAGGTCCATCAGTGGCTATTAGCCATAGGTATAGATAGGGACCCTGGGGCAAGTGATGCTCTGTCATCTTGGTGCTTGGGGGGTGGTGGTCAACAGTGGGATGGCTTCTAATGTCCTGGCCCCACTGGTGGACCTCCTGATGGCACTGGTATATCTGGCCACTGTGTGATACAGAGTGTTGGACTGGATGGGCCTTTGGCCTGATCCAACATTGGCATCTCTTATGTTCATATAGTCGCATACATCAGATGTAGCAAAATAGGGTTTCCACAAAGTAACACACGTCTGTGTGCATGCTCCTAATTTTTCACTCATTCCCATTTTACTTTTTATCCCAGAGCTGTCAGAGTGCAGGAGGTATCCTACCATCTGCCCTCAGGTATAATTTCTGTGGTACTATACAACCCAAAACTGGGTCAGATTCTCCAGTACAATAACAGCACCTATCAGCACCCATATGTGATATATTCACATTGCCACTTTAGCAGGTGTAAGGTGAAGGAAATTAGTAAAGTGCCTAGGAATCAAACTGGATGGAACCCTAGAAGATGTGTGAACAGATCTCTTGGACATTTTTCATGAGTCAGCAGCAGGCCAGGGGTAGGGGAGCATTCAGATCAGAGCTTCAACACGGGAGAAAGAAGTTGAAACCTTTACCCCATACTGATGTCCTGCGCTCAGTCAATCGCTCTGCCCCACCTAAGAGCTGCTATTTGCTTTGCAGGGTAAACACAAGGACCTTTTTGTAAATGCCAGCATTGTAAATGTTCAGTAAATGCCAGCAGTATCAAGACATATTATTCTTGTCATGCTACGTACTTAAGTGTTGCTAAATATAATTTAGCTGGTAGAGAACCTAACCCAGGGATTAGTCTGAATGGATTTTGCCCTCCCATTACAGCTATGCATTTCTTCCATGTACAGCTATAAGGCAAATCAGAAATTCCAAACTGCTGTTTAGATTGAGTTTTGTTTAGAAATATTCTTAGTGTATTAATCTTAGTGTATTAATGGCAAGAGCAGGACAAGGAAATGCAACTTGTTGAGTTACCGTATCTCATCTTTGGAAATTTCCCCTGATTGTTAACTTGTAACCAAATATGGTACTGACTACTCTGACAAACTGAAGAATTTCCTTAACAGTTCAAAGTTCTGTCATAAAATACACAGGGGTTTTCTGTGCGTGCATATATAAATACTTGCATACATAACCTTTCTGTGCCATTATTTTTCTCACTGAGGCTGATATAACCGGTAGAATCAAAGATGATGGTTAATATATGGCTTCTTGCCTTGGTGTTACAATTATTACATGGGGTGACAGGTTCCTTGGTAAAACTCAACAATGGTGGGTTTGAAGACATTGTTATTGCAATTAATCCTCAGTTACCAGAAGATGACAAAATTATCAACAGTTTAAAGGTAAGACTGTTCAAACATTTTTTTCATTATGTAACTTTTATATTAGTGACTTTGAGACACTTTTATACATTAGTAAATTCATCTTGCATTCTGCAAGTAGGGATATGCACATTCCAGGCTGCTATTGGAAATTTAACCAAGGTTTCTTAAATGTATAATGCAGAACTCCCAGATCTATACATTCCATCCTCTACTTGGGTTTGCCTGCTCTGTACTGGAGTACAGGCCTTTATGGTGACACAAACTTTGTATCTTGGGTTTTGAATATTGGATGTACAAATGTCCACATTACTGATCTTTATAATAATTGTGATGTCTTGGGCTAGTATGCATCAATGTGAAGTTAATAAATAATACAAAAGAAACTTAACTATTCTGATATACCATGTCCCTAACCCTTTGAGGGGCAATGTACCAACGTCCCTTGTAAAATGTGTGAACAGTCCATTTTCAAATGTCTTCAATAAGCAGGGTGCCTTGGTTAAGACAGGTATCAAATTTCAACTTCCTATCTAGTGCAGGGATGTTTTGGAGTGCACTTCTTGCTTTCCCCTTGGAGGAAGATATTCCCAGTAGTAAGGAGTTAGACTTGTATATTCAATTTTAGGCTACTAAGATCAAACAGTACAGAACTGCATAGAGGACACTAGTGCCACCATTTCTTTCTCCCCCCCCCCCCCGTGCTTTTAAGGGTAGCTTGACAGAGAAAAATGATAACAGAAATAGTATTTCACACCATTTCTCTCTATGCTGGGAAAGCTTCACCTGCTAAATTCCTCTATCAAATTGAAGAAGAGTTGGTTTTTATACCCCACTTTTCTTTACCCCAAGGAGTGTCAAAGAGGCTTAAAATCACCTTCCCTTCCTCTTCCCACAACAGGTACCTTGTGAGGTAGGTGGGGCTGAGAGAGTTCTGAGAGAACTGTGACTGGCCGTGGTCACCCAGCAGGCTTGATGTGGAGAAGTGAGCAATCAAACCCAGTTCTCCAGATTAGACTGGTTAAAGGTGTTGAAAGAGGGCCAGAAAAGGTGGCAGCAACCCTAGCCACCAAGGATGAAACAGATGGGGCAAGTTGTCAGATAAATGGGGATGTAAAAGAATGTAATACTTTGCTGGTTTGGCCAGATTTTCAAAGGAGTCTTTTAAGATGAGGTGAAATTGCGGCTGCCATTCAAACTGTGAGATAAAATTGTGCCTGCAAAATATGTTTGACTTACAGAAAAATTAAAAGAGGGAAAAAACAGACATCGGCAGACCATTCTTTTGTCCTGCTGATGACAGAATGATCAGCCACTCAGCAAGATTCCATGGCAGAGTCGAGAGCTGAACCTGGGTCTTGAGTGTCATAGTCCAACAGTCTAACCATTACATCATACCAGGAATATTCACAAATGTGCGAATTTCTGGGAGGATCAGGTTTAAATGGCAGCACTTTGCAATCAGCTTTCCATTCCCTAAATCATGTGTTGTTGCCTGCAAACTTTACCGTTGCCACAGAAAATGGTAGCACCTGTAAGGTTCCATCTCACTTTGAAGCTGGACTTTCTGAGAGGCTGAATTTCATACTTTATGCCAAAGGAATATAAACTTCAGATTAATTTCTACCAATGACTTTGCAACCTTGGTTTCAGTAAGAACGTGAATATGTGGAAATAGGCTCCAGTTTACAGTACAGGGTACTATTGAACAGGGTACTATCGAATAAATATTTCCCTATACATAATTTTATTTATTTATACCTTGCTTTTCTCCCCAATGGGGACCCAAAGCAGCATACAATATCATTCTTCCCACCTCCAATTTATCCTCACAACAACAGCTCCACCAGGTACTTTAGGCTGAGAGAAAGCAAGTGGACACGCAGTGAGATTCCATGGCAGAGTGGGGAGCTGAACCTGGGTCTTGAGTGCCACAGTCCAACACTCTAACCCCTACACCATACCAGGAATATTCATAAATGTGTGAATTGAGCTTATCAGGAGGACCAGTTGCAGGAGAGATTTCTGTTCCCCTTCTCAAAGCAACATGCAAGCTGAACATCAGGTGACAAATGCTTCATGCAAACTGAACAACAGATTAGGAACACTTCAAAATTCCTCCCCCAAAGGAACTCTTCCCAGATTGCCCTAGTCCACTCCAAGTTACTTATTTCACAGAATGGGACTTTTGGTGTAATGTTGTTTCTGGTTTACAGGTGTTGGTGTGTGTGCACACATCACACATTTGAATGCACAGTTGGTTACATGTTACCATTATCAACGTATTATGCCAGTACAGATTGCAGCATAAATCTAATATAAATAAAATACATAGCCAAATGCTCTTTGCCTGCATATCTGCTTAAATTAACTTTACAGAATATGAAAAAGTAACCTGATACAAAATAAATAAACAAACAAACTATGGAACAAGTAACAGACATAAAATATGGAAGGGCCAGAAAGAAAAAAGATGCAAATAAACATTCTAGAAATTCAAAAAGCCTTTGAACACAGCTCTGACAAACACAGCATACTTATTGTTTTCTTTTGCCACTAGGAAATGGTTAAAGAGGCATCTACTTATCTGTTCAATGCTACAGAACAAAGATTTTATTTCAAGACTGTAAAAATTATAGTTCCTTTGACATGGACAAGCAAAAGTGAATACAGAAGAGTAACCATAGAATCCTATGAAAAGGTAAGCATTAAATATATCTAATTGCAAAATCCTGCTCCCATGTGGATAGTGAAAGAATGGAGAGGAGCCACAGGTCCAAATTCTATGCAGAGTTAACCTGCAACCCTAGAGTTGGATCCAACTGGCTTTCAAGCAAGGAAAATCTTTACCTTTACCTAAGTCTCTTTTAATAAATGAGAGAGCAGCTTGTGGAGCACATGGACACAGCAGCTGAACAGAGGCACTAACAGAGGGCATCAATTTGGCTGAGGAGTTTGATGGGGAGCAAGAAACAACCACAGAAACAAAACTTCTTTAAAGCTGCTGTGTGAGTTCATTATTTGGGGCAAGGAGGTACAGCACATTAACCTTCTTGGTATAGGATTCTGCAGAGTTTCAGAGAAGGAAACCTCTAGGACCACACAACTACATTTCCCAATGACACAGATACATTTCCCAGTGTCATTGGTGCCAATGTGTGCTCTGCCCCTGCACTACTTATCAGCCTATCTAAATGATGTCTGCAACTTTCATACTACAGTCACCATGTGATCAAAATACCCATCACAGGAATACTCTCTATTCCTAACAATTAGATCTTCACTACCAAAAGTCCACCAGAAGGGTATCCTTGGAATGAGAAGATATCAGTTCATTGAGCAAGGAAGGAGTCCCTTCTAAGGAATTATTTCCATCCTCCTCAGCCTGATGCCCTTCACATAATATTATTTTTTATTGGACAGAAATAGTGGGTGCATGTGATGCATGGAGCTCTTAATTAATAGGGATTAGGCTTGTTCCCTCAAAGTTGGAGTTACTGACCTAAAGCAATTGAGAGAGACTGAGAAGTATGTGTACAAGACCTTCATGAACTTGCTAGAACTGCCCCACTTCTGTACAGATCAGTCCTGTGGTGTTATGGAGAAAGTGAAAGTCTCAAGATTGAAGGGCATTAAGCTGAGGATGGAAATTTCCTCAGAAAGGACCCCTTCTTTTCACAATGAGCAGATATCTTCTTGTACCAAGGATATCCCTCTGGGGTTGGGGAAGGTGGGCTTTTGACAGTGGGAGATCTAATTATTAGGAATATAGAGGACGGGGTCTGTGATGGATATTTTGATCTTGCCTGCCTGGTGTGAAAGTTGCAGATATCATGCACTGTTTAGATAGGCCGATAGCTAGTGCAGAGGAAGAGTGCACTTGGCACTGATAACACTGGGAATTGTAGGTGTGTCATTGGGAAATGCAGTTATGTGGTCCTAAAGGAAAAAATTAGGTTACTAGGCAGAAGGCCAAAAGCCAGGACCTCATAGGTAGTGCTCTCAGAAGTGCTACCTGTTCCAAGCTTGGGGGTAGCTAGACAGGCACAGATTAGGAGTCTCAGTATCTGGATGAATAAGTGGGGGTGGGAGGAAGGCTTTAGATTTGTTAGGCACTGTAGAACTTTCTGGGACAAGCTGAACCTGCACAAAAGAGAGAGGGTTCACTTGTATCAAAAGGGAATCAGGATGCTGTTGATTGATATAAAAAAGCTGACAGAACAATTTTTACCAGCATAATACTAAGCAGAGTTACTCCAGTCTAAGCCCATTGAAATCTATGGGCTTAGACTGGAGTAATTTTTCCTAGAATTGCACTGTAAGTTAACTAGGGATTGGCACGAATCGAACCACAAAGCAAAATTAGTCATGAATTTTGCCATGTTCATGGTTTGGGAACAGAATTTTGTGACGGGTGTACCATCATAACCTTCCATCAACTTTTAAAGCAGTTTGTGATGGTTCATAGATGGAGCAGAGAGCAGGGGTTTAAATAATGTACTACCACTCCCTTTCTTGGTCATCCTTAAACCTAGCCCTGCTTTACTTAGGCAGATGTCATAGTAGCTGATCCTTTCCTGAAATATGGAGATGATCCATATACCCTGCAATATGGTGGATGCGGAGAACAGGGACGATATATTCATTTCACATCAAACTTTCTAACAAATGACAGTTTGCATGATGTCTATGGATCACGAGGTAAGACTTGTTAATTCAAAGTATTATTTTTTGTTTTCCCCCCATTAAAATGTTCAATAATCAAGTTTAGGAAAGATAAGTAACAGGATAAAAATTATCCTGAAAAACCATTAACAGCCTTATTTATTTTGTAATCTCTCTCTAAATATTTTATTTATTTATTTCCAAAACATACCCTGCCTTTCTGCCCAACCAGAGCCACCAAGTCACCTTACAATGAAAAACAAAGCATTATAAAAGTACATCATAAAACCAAAACTGAAATCTCTCCTTGTATATAATTGAGTAGTGGGGTGGCACTTTCCAGCTCTCCCATTGGCTCTGCAATGCGCTCCATCAGCCATTGGCCTATCAGCCACCACTCAAGAGTACTCATGTGCCATTGGACGGGTGCTGGGTCTGCTCCTCTTCCCCGCCCACTCCCACCTCAGCCACTGTTCCATGTCAGAATTACTGGCAAACGGCTGTCTCTCCCGACAAAGACACTTCTCCTGCTTGGCTCCTCTGTGGGACTAACTTTTCCCTCAGTGGCTGCTGGTAGAAGGAAACCCTTTCCAGGCCTTTGTGAGGAACTCATTGAAACCTGTCCTGACTAGGGTTACCAGCTCCAGGTTGGGAAATTCCTGGATATTCTGTTTCTAAGGAAGCCAGTCTAAGGAAGCCAGAGTTTGGGGAGGGGAGAGGCCTCAGCTCAACAGAATGCCATAGAGCCCACCATCCAAAGCAGTTATTTTCTCGGGGGGGGGATCTGTTGTCTGGAGTTCAGTTGTGATACCTGGCGATCTTCAGGCTCCACCTGAAGGTTGGCTACCCTAGGCATAGCAGTTAGCATTTCAGGGCAGGGTCTGCCAGGCAGACCGGCTAAATATCAGGAGAAACTTCCCAACTGTAAGAGTGGTTGAGCCGTGGAACAGACTGCCTCGGGAGGTGGTGGATGCTCCTTCACTGGAAATGGCTGAGAATGCTCCTTCGCTAGGGAAATGGCTAAGAAGCTAAATGCATTTTTTGCCTCTGTCTTCACTGTGGAAGATGAGAAGTGCTTGCCCACTCCAGAGCCGCTGAGTTCGGGAGGGATGTTGAACGACCTGCGTCAGATTGAGGTGATGAGAGAGGAGGTCCTAAAACTGATAGACAACTCAAAAACTGATAAATCACCAGGCCCAGATGGCATACATCCGAGAGTTCTGAAAGAACTCAAATGTGAACTTGTGGATCTCCTGACAAAAATATGTAATCTCTCCTTAAAATCTGCCTCCATTCCTGAGGACTGGAAGGTAGCAAATGTCACTCCCATCTTTAAAAAGGGTTCCAGAGGAGATCAGGGAAATTACAGGCCAGTCAGTCTGACGTCGATACCGGGTAAATTGGTGGAAACCATTATTAAGGAAAGAATTAGTAGGCACATAGATGAACAAAACCTATTGAGGCAGACTCAACATGGGTTCTGTAAGGGAAGATCTTGTCTCACTAACCTATTAGTGTTCTTTGAGGGGGTGAACAAACATGTGGACAAGGGGGACCCAATAGATATTGTTTACCTTGACTTCCAGAAAGCTTTTGATAAAGTCCTCATCAAAGGCTCCTAATTTATTTATTTATTGAGATTTATACCCCGCCCTCCCCACACCTGATAGATGTGTGACAGATTTCACACCCTAATGCTGATGGTCAGTTCTGCATCCCCTGAGATCTGTGCCCTAGGTGGTCTCCTAATTGGCCTAATGGTAGTACCAGCCCTGATCACTGGGCAGTTCTTTCCACTTCTCTGTTACTGCTTGGCTGACTACACATTCCCCCCATGTTCTCATGAAGTAATCATGCTTGCAACACTGGGAGAACGCCATAGTCTTTTCACCGGATTTTTCTTAGAAGCTTCATGTGGCAGTATTTCTCTCTTATTTTATGTTGTTAGGTGTGCTGTAGTTTTAAATTTCTTGTTGTTTCTTTCTCTCACTCAAAGTATCTATCGCTGCCACCAGGAATTTAATTCCAGTCTTTAATTAACCTTTCCCACAGTATTGTGCCCAAGCTCTAAGGCCCCTTTGTTGGACTATGTGTTTCTGAGGATAGGGTTAACAATAAACAAGATAAAACTTTATTGGTAAAAGAAGCATATTGGTTACAAGGTTGCTTAGTAGAATATTTCCTTTTTACTCAGGTTTCTTTCAGCTTTTCCCCTCACACTCTTAAAATACTCTCACTATATTAGATTTTTCCTAATATGCCCCCTTAAGTATATTTTCTTCCTTCTTTAGAATCTTAATGCCTTTCACAGCACTTTTATATGATTCTAGTTAGAAGATTACTTCTCAGTGTAGATTGACCATAGCTGACAGCTGCTGACAGCTGACTTCTGCCTTCAAACTGAACACTCTGCCTTCTCTCTCTCTGTGCGCACATATACCTCCTAGCTCCACCTACACAGTCTCAGTCACCAATCACTTCACTCACTCATCTCCCTCTTTCACCCCCTCTTGTTCTTCTGACACTTACCAACCATTTTAAAGAAACACACACATATAACTTCATCTCTTCATCTGCATCCTGCTAAAACCTAATTATTTTCCTATTTCTAATACAGCATATTTTATCATAGGACTTTAAATTTGTCTGGACAATGAGGGTGGGGTTTTTTTGGCACGTAGAAGTTGTGAATAAAGTTTCATTTAAAAGGAAGAGCAGTGTTGACTGGCTTGCAAACAAGGTCATATCTCAGGGCCAACAATAACTGTAGTTTTGTGTCTCTCTCCTTATATATACTTCTGTTTTGGTCATGGACTCCCCTGAACATTCCAACACGCTACCAAATCAGTTGGCTCCCTGATCTGTCACTCAGAGGGTCTCCCTATCCACTGGCTGTGTTGCCTACGTCCTGCCTCCAACATTCTAAACAGTTTGCTGTTCCTCTCCCCCCCATAGCCAGTCAGAACACAGAGGTCATTTGCATATGTGGTCTCATTGGCCTTTGCCTCTAACATTCTAAAAAGTTTGCTGTTGCTGTTCTGAGGTAAAATGTGTTCTGAGGTAAAATACATTTCCCCTTAGTGCCTGTTGAGGGAAACCATTGTTGCCAATCTCCAGGTGAGGGCTGAAGATCACTCAGAATTACAACTGCTTTCCAGAAGGCAGAGATCAGTTCCCCTGGAGAAAATGGTGGACTCTGTGTCCTTATATCCTGCTGAGATGGCCCCTGTATGACAGCCAATGTGACGTAGCAGTCAGGGCTTCAGAGCATGGGAGAGGCTGCAGGTGGGGGGGTGAAAAGCTGAAGAGTGAGGGGGAAATAAAGGTAAGTTGATGATTGGCTGGGAAGGAGATAGGGTTGCCAACTCCAGGTGGAAAATTCCTGGAGATTTGAGAGATGGAACCTGGAGAGGATGAGGTTTCAGGAGGGGTGGGACCTCAGTCAGGTACAATGCCATAGACTCCATCCTCCAACCCAGCCATTCCTTCCTGGGGAACCACTGTTGCCAGTCTCCAGGTGAGGGATGGAGATCACTTAAAATTACAACTCCTCTTCAGGTAGCAGAGATCAGTTCCTCTGGAGAAAATGGTGGACTTGGTGTCATTATACCCTGCCGAGGTCACTGTAGCAAATTAACACTGAGTGCCCAAGGTTGGTGCACCCACCCAGAGCCTCTTTCTAGAGCTCGTTATATTTATTTCCACAATGGGCCTTATTCCTAGTAATACATATTCTCTTTCTGCAAGAATGATCATATGTATGTAATTTCTACATCATTTAACATGACGTGTTAATGCTTATACTTTGTTTCAGCTCTGTTTCAGATTTCTGCTTTGTTTCTGATTTCTGCAATCCAAATTCTTTTGCATTGTTTATTGGATGTCTCATCCTATTGACTGTATTGACCTACACAGTGTAATTTGCCTTGAGTCTCAGTGAGGAAGGCAGACCATGAATAATATAAATAAATAAAAAAGCAGAAAGCAGGAAGGAGGGGTCACTGAAGGAATACGAAACAAAACAAGGAAGTCTTCATCCAGTGACATGAGATGGTAATGGAAGGAGACAGATTAATAAGAATAATTTTTGCACCATGACTGAGATAGTCCTTGCTTGGGCTGTCAATTAACAATATTTGTACTAGATTCATCACCATGTTTCAAGCCATAGGAACATTTTCCACATTCATAAATGTCGGCTTGGCTCCCATGGAAAATCTCGTCAGAAGGGATTTCCATCAGCAGGATTCCCCCTCCCTCTGCAGTTCCAAATGCCCTCCTAATGGTGTTCCTGGGAAATGGAACTCCCAGCAACAGCATGTGGAAGTCTGAAGTGTGTGTGTGTGAGGGGGAAGGTGGACAAAATTCACCCTGTTCACCCTTCCATTTTTTGAGATGTTATGCTGGATCCAACATGTAATAATGTATTACAATTTATTAACAATTACGTCCTTTTTTGTTCTGTGGAACTCAAAGCACTTTAGTAGGCTTCTTGGAAGATCTTCTACCCAGACCCTGTCCAGACCTTAATTTTCTTAGTTTGAGTAAGAACCATACGTCAAGACTGAAGAGGAAAGCTTCAATGAACTGCTCTGCCTTTTCCACACCATGCCTTAGTCAAAACCATTACTGGTTGACTTAAAAGGAGGGCAGCCATAGAAAGCTGACTGAAATATTGCCATCTTATAGCTGTGTCTTGCAACATTTCTTCATCTGCGCATGTATAAAAGATGTTTTGATTGTACACTGTCTCCCATTTGAGAACTTTTGGGAAAAGTTGGCAATTAACATCTAACTAACTCTATATTATAAATGTAAACAATTGTGTATTAATTAATTTTTACTGATTTGGTATAGGTAGAGTCTTGGTCCATGAGTGGGCTCATCTCAGATGGGGTGTATTTGATGAATACAACAATGATGCACCTTTCTATCCTGCTGGGCAAAACAGGGTTGAAGCAACAAGGTACCAACCCAGATGTTTTGGTTGATATGAATAATGTTTTGATGCTGGTCTAGAAAATTAGGTAGTAGTTTGATTTTAAAAAAATTATTGTTAACTTGCCACACAGATCTGAATATGAACAATTGTGCTGAAACCTGCTCAGAGGAATCCCACAACAGTTATTTATTTATTATTTAATTTTATTTATACCCCGCCCTCCCTGCAAGCGGGCTCAGCTAGATGCCACCTATGAAAGGAATGTTCACTTTCAGTTTTGTTTTAATAGACTACAACTAGCAACCAGAAAAAGGAAAGTAATCGGTATCAAGAAAAAAATCATTATTGCAACTAGCATCTTTGTTGACAATTCATGTTAATTCGGGAATTTGTATACAAAAATTTGTTCCTATCACCACGTGTAAGAATTCCAAAGATGCCCACAAGCTCAAAAAAGTTAGGAACCTCTGCCCTACAGCATCTCAAGCTTTATCTACAGTACTGAAAGAACTTCTACAGCCTAGTCTGACCTTCTGAGGGTGCTAAGGGTTAGGTGATTTTCTATATCTTTGGGCCACTGTAGTTGAAGTATATTAACAGGATCAGCCACCACTATTTAATATGCTTTTTTCTTCTTTAAATTAATATTTTATTTAACTCAACATATACCATAACAACTCTTGATTCTTTCTTACTAGCTGTGTCTGTTTCTGTTATATTGACTAGGTGCTCAGCTGATGTCACTGGTAAATATGTATTCTCAACTAAAGATGGAAAAACCAGGACATGCAGATATGATCATCGAACTCAGGTGTATGAAGCTGGGTGCCAGTTTGTACCAGATAGAAAGCAAAGTACTCCAGCATCTATAATGTACATGCAAAGTCTCTCTTCAGTAAGTATGACTAATGTCTGTTGGGAGGATATGGGATTTACTCTGAACTGAAATCAGTCTTCTAGAATTCAAGGTATTGTCAAATTGTTGTGAACTGAAGATCAATTTAGAATTCCTTCAGGCAATCAGTTTCAAACCAATTTATCACATTTAATCAAATTTTACCAAAATAAAATAAAATTTTATCAGCTGTTAACTGAAGCTAATAATGTATATCTGCCTTCTCCTACTCCTCTATTCAATGGTTCCTTCTATTTTTTTCTCTTTTATTTCATTTCCTTTTCTTTTATTCCTGCTATTCTTGACTGTCAGATCCATTCTTTGACATTCTAGTTTTGCTCTTATTTTCCACTATTGCTTTCTTCACTTTCTGTGTCTTTAGATGTTATTAATCTTTCTGTGTTGTCCAACTCCAGCCATCTCAATTTAAGCATTGATCCCAACTCCTTTCAAGATTCAGGGTCCTTTACTCTGAAACATCTGGAGTGATTTTTTTATGCCTGTCTTATTTTTATGCCTGTCTTATCTTCTACCATCAACATCTTCAATCTATATCAATCAAGGCTCCAAAACCAAGGGTAAAATTGAAGAGATGGTGGGGGTGAGGGGTAGTGTCCTTGCTCTCTATTCACATGCAGCAACAGCAGGTTCTTCCAAAAAGCAGCAAAAATTGGCAAGTCTATAGGGGTTCATGACCCAAGAGTTGTACAATCTGCCTGAGGGTCCCAATCCATGGGTTGAAGACCACTGCACTAGCATGTAATAAAATGTTGAGAAAGGAGGAGGGGATTCTGGCTTTTATAGAGAGAAATTTACTCATCACATGGGAAGCAGCTCGCTGTAGGCCCTGTGATTAGTGGGTAAGATGGGACAGCCTTTTAAAACTCTTTTTATGTGGAGTCAAAGGCAGAGAATGAACAGAATTTAAAATCTGCATGGCATCTGTATGTGGCACAGGGTGGCCGTATTTGCCCCATTGCTTTGTGAATCAAGAATTGTTGTCATAAATTAAGAGCTACTAAACAATTCTTTTTATCTTTTTTAAAGGTTATTGAATTCTGCAACAACAATAGCCATAACATTAATGCAACAAATATGCATAACAAACTATGCAAGTACAGAAGCACTTGGGAAGTAATTGCGTCCTCTAAAGACTTTGCTAGTTCATCTCCATTAAGTGCTCTTCCACCTGACCCAACTTTCTCCTTGCTACAAACCCAGGATAGAGTTTTGTGTTTAGTACTTGATGTTTCCGGTAGTATGGCCTCCGTAAGTGATTATTTTCCATTTCCAAAAGAAAGGTTTATAGAGAATTGGTCAGTTTTAAGATGATGGCATTAATGTCTATAGTTTTGTGTCATTGTATCAGTAATAAATCGTAAATTGTTAGAAATGTTGAAGCTATTTTTGCTCTTCCTGATAAGAACATTTAATACATATGTTTTATCAAATCATAGTAATGGATTAATACAAAAATTCTTCTCATGTCCATCTACATGACATGGGCCTCAGGTACCAGTTAACTGCGATGAACCTTCAGACTGCTCCAAAAACTAAGTTTGCAATGTTTGCAGTCTAGTTTTTGTGGGAAGAGAACAAGTTGCTTGGCAAGGATTAGGGTTAGGGCTCTGTAGACAGCAGGAGCTGTAGTCTGAGAACTCGGAAGATGTCCCATGAGGGAAAAAATACAGCTTTTTCTCCCACAGGGGAAGTAGCACCATGTGGGGCATGAGTGTGATTTTTATAAAAGGCATGAGGAAAAGGGTTAAACATCCCTTCCCCAAACACTGCTCTGAGCAAATTTTCAGCCCTCCATTGTTGTATTTAATTTTAAAAGATAACTTGGGCAAGGTATAAATATTATAATAAATAAAAGATCCAATCAGATTTGCAGAGGACGAGAATTCTGCTAGCTGTAGTGTCTACTACCACTGTGGAATTGTGACTATTGCTTAATTATTTGCCAGCAGGTTTCCTGCAAAGATTTAGGGTGTGGTCACACATACCAGATAAAACAAGGGAAAAGCGAGGCTATTTCCTCTGGAGGAATTTGACCCGCAGTTGCGAGATCACACCTCCCTTTGAAGCTGTGGGTGTAGCCTGTCAGTGTGTGATCAGACGCAACTGTGGGTGAGTTATTCTTTTTTGTGCTGTTTGTTTCCCATGCACTTAAAAAAGGAATCGATGAACCCCACCTCCGCACTGAGGGCTCCCTATGGAGTTTGTGATGATGCGCATACTGCGAGGGGGGGGGGGGAATGGCACAAAGTCAGTATGGCCTGATCAGACCATCCTGACAGCATGAGAGTGCGCTGGAGTGATCAGACGAGGGAAAGTCTGTCCGTGCCTGTCACAACCCGTTTACTACCGGATTTCCCCCGGTGTCTTTTAACTCTGCCTCTGCGGCAGAGCAGAACAGGTTACCGATGGCTGCGGGATGCTTCCCAGATGTTGCCATCTGATCGCTCCCTTTAAATCTGCCTGGCATTCATGCCTATGTCAGGTCTAATTTTGCGTGTGGTCTCTGCCTTATACAGGTTCCAGCAAATTCAGCCCTAGCAAGGATGGTACCCATTGGTCCCAGAGCAGCTGTCTAGAGAGGGAGAGCAGGCAGCTGAGAAGATAACCGCAGTGGCTATTCCTTGCTTTCATTTACAAGTCTCTTGCTAACTTGGGCAGGAGAGTAAATTATTTTTTATGGCATCAAGGAGGAAGAGCTTCAGCTGCCCATCACCTCTTTCTTTGCAGTGGATGAGGAAGAGGATGGAAACCTCCTGCCACCTATGAAGACAGTACAGCTACTGCCAAGGTTCCTATAAAACAAGGAACTAGCTCTGATAGCTCAGAAGAACTATGTAAATAGTTGAAGGGGTAGATAAAAGGGAGTTGTAGAACAAGAGAAGCAGAAATGTTGCTCCAACAAAAGCCTGAGTTTAACTGTGTCATTGAATATTAATGATGGCCCAAAGCTATCCCTCAACAATAAGTTAAAGCAGTTTTACAGGACCAGACCCCTGTGTTGCATTTATGTCTGGCAGGGCTTCAGCAAGTACAGCCCTGGCCATTAAGCAAGATGCCTGTCAGGCAGGGCCGGTGCTTCCATAGAGGCGAGTTAGGCAGTTGCCTAGAGCACCACTTTCAGTTGAGTGCTGGCCGCCACCTGCTGATGAACCCCCTGCCCCTCCCTTGCCAGCCACATGCTTGTCTGTGGGTCAGGATGCACCTGGTTGTGCACGCTTGCCCAACAGGCAAGGAGCGGGGCAGCAGAAGCCGTTGAGGCACGCAAATGCGCAGCTATTGAAAACACAGATACCCAAGCAGTAGTGGAATCCAACGTGCTCACAACCCCTTTCCTAGACAGCTCGGTGGGATTTCCTTCCAAGGAGGCCCCGCCACCAGGCATAGGGAGCAACGCGCCAATTCACACCAGGACCACTGCCCTGCCCCTGGCAACAATGTGCATGATTGTGCCTTCACTGTGGAAGGTTGCAAAGTGAGGTGAGGTGATTGGCCCAAGCTCCACTTTGCCTGCCTCGTCCTCACTCTGTAATAACTCCTTCCCACCCCCCACCCCGGCGGCGCATGCAAAGCCCGTGCGTCCCATGTGCTCGCTCACTTTCCAGGTAAGAGCGTCCTGGGGTCCCTTGGGAGAGAGTTTGCTGTCTCATTTCATGCAGTGCTGCTTATTCCAAATTAGGTATGTTTCCTCTGCCTTTAATTTATTGTGCAGTATTATAGCTAGGTCTGATTGGTCTCCCCCCCCCCCACTCCGTCCGATTGCAATCTGCACACTGAAAATGTCAAATTAACTAAAATATATTCCTTAAAAAATCCTGTCCATTTTCCTGTACTGTTTCTTACTTGAGGGACAATTATTATTCTGTTCATGGTATGAGGAAGCCAAGTGCGTGGTTTTGTGTTGAATTTAGTTTTGTGCTGAATTTAGTTTGAATTATTAGGGTCATCTGGAAGGGGGGGGGGCAAAGGGAATCTTTATCCCAGGGGCCCATGGTGGCTTTTGGCAGCCCTGCATTCAGCTACCTGAGCCAATGTAGTGAAGTGGTTATAATGTCTGACTAGAATCAAGGAGTCCCAGGTTCAAATCCTCAGTCTGCTGTGGAAACTTGTGGGGTGGCCTTGGGCAAATCCTGGACTCTCAGGCAATGTTTCCTCTAAGCTGTGGAGTCTTGTGAGCAAAAATTCTACCTTGTGAGCTACCGGCATTAAAGTTGTGAGTGAGCAATTTGGCTACTGCATCAATTAGTTTGCTCTGGAGCCATCCTTCCTGAGCTAAGACAAAAAGGTGTGGGCCAGAGGCTAAAAAACTGTGAGCTAGCCCTAGGGTTGCCAAGTAAAAAAAAGTCACCGGCGGGGGAGCCTCGCCAGGCTCCGGGAGCTCTCTCCGGATGCGCACGTGCACCGCCAGCACATCACCGGAAGTGACATGCAACGTCAACCACATTGAGGGTGTAGCCCCATCGTCAGATGGAAAACCATAGAGTTTTCCCTCCGACGATCTGGGCCACGCCCACAACGTGGTCGATGTGGTTGCGTCACCAGAGCTGCGCTTCGGGGGGCAGAGTTCCCCACAGGGCCCGATTCCGCGGCGGCGGAAATCGGGCCTCCAAAGCGGTGGGTTACCCGCCCCCACTTGGCAGCCCTAGCTAGCCCACACTAACTCAGCTTAGAGGGAACACTGCTCTCAGGCTAAGATACCTCAACACAGTTGTTGTGAGGATAAAATGGAGGACAGGGGAATGATGGGAGCTGCTTTGGGGGTCCGTTGGGGGACGAATAGAGGGTATTAATGAAGTAAATCCTTCTGCTGTTTGCAATGGAAGCAACAGTTCCCTGGTTTGGGCCTGCATAGCTCATCAGTAAATGCTGGAGCCCAGCAGGCTACAGGGTTGATGGGCAGAGCAGAAAATAAAGCAAAGAGTCTGAAAATCGGCTTCCAGCTCAAGAGGATTTGTGGGACCCAGGTTGGAGTCCCTGTTGCATCATGGGAGGCCGCTGGGTCACTTTGGTCCAGTCACCCTCTCTGAGCCTAATCTACCTCACAGGGTTGTTATGACGATAAAATGGAGGCGAAGAGAACAATGTGAGCCTCTTTGGGTCCCCACTGGGGAGGAAGGTGGGATATACATGAAGTTCATAAATAAATAATAAATGACATTCAGATATGCCACAGCACCAGCAGCTGGGATAGATTATATCACTGCTACACACACACCCTTAATTAAATCTGTAACCTAATATTTAGGAAGCCCCATCATCTGTGTTAACCAAAAAGTTGTCTGTATGTGTCTTCCTGCTTGAGTTCAATATTTAGAAGCCAAGACTTAAATTTCAACATCACAATTAACAGGATTTTTCAAAATGCTTTGTGATTTGTGTTTTTCTGTTTGAGAAAATCAGAGATTGTATTACTTGTTCTCACAATTTTTTAAAAAAAGAAACTAGTGATTTCAAATTTTGTGTTTTTCATTCTTCCTAAAATGCATTTATGTTTCAAAATTGGTGGGCAGAAGTTCTACACAATTTTAGCAAATTCTTTCTTTGCACTTGCACTGTGTTGTGGAAGTGGCCCTTTGTTAAGAAGATAATGCATCTTTTTAGGTCTAAAGTCTGTCAAGATGGGGTCCAGGTACTAAAATACATGAGAGCTCCCTACTGAAGTCCTGGGAAAATACTTATAGGTCTGCACCCACATCTGAGTATTGTAAAATTATAGTAGGTGTTCCGGAATTACTCTGTAAACACAACCCATTGTTTTGCAGTTGTAACACTATTTCAAATAGTTAAACTTATTAAATACTTAGTTGGCGTAAACAGGTCTATCGTGATACATTCTGGAACAATGAAGCACAAACTATACTGTGACTTTTGTCAAGATGACATTTGGCTTTGTCAGGCATCTAAGCCTTACTTTCTCCATGGAGTGTGCGCTTACCTCATGATAGGCTGTTTCCTCACTCCTAAGAAAGGAGGACGTTACTGCACCTCTCCCCTTCATAAGATGGCACCATGTTGTTTGATCTTCATTGAGGTCACCTCTGGCTATTAGATAAGGATCTTCCAAGAGCCTTCACACAATTCACAGGGCAAACTTATTGACAGAATTGTGGTCCTTTGACTTCCTTTTCATTTCAGTAATCTACCACATTATGTAACAAGTCTGAGGGTTATGCAACAAATAAAAATACAGAGGAAATTATTCAGAGATCTCATAAACATTATGGGTTGGATTTGAAGTTTATTTTCTGCTAACGGAACATTCTTGAATCAAAAGACGAGTTCCATTCTGCTAACAGAAGTGCTTTCTGTTGATGGGGATGGGATATTTAGTCTGGATCCAATCCTATTGTTTATTTTGTGTGTGTTTATTAAGTTGTACATTTCCTAAGTACAACTGTCTGCCATTAATAACAGAACTTTTAACCTCATTTTTATCTGCTGTGTTTCCTGGATAGTGCTGACAGTTGTATGGGTATTTCCCCCCCTTCATATGCAGTATAATCGCATTAATCGCCTGAAGCAAGCTGCAGAAATATTTATCCGTCAGATTATTGAAACAGGTTCGTGGGTTGGAATTGTCACATTCAATAGTGCTGCAACAATTCGAACTGATCTGCAACACATAACCAGTGACAGTGTGCGTGATTCTCTTGTATGTGTTCTGCCTACATCAGCTGGTGGAGGAACTAAAATCTGTTCAGGAGTGCAAAAAGGATTTCAAGTAAGGAAGAAAATTATCATTACTTTTATCCTTATATTTCTTCTTGGTGTTCTATTTTTCCAATTAGGAACAATTCTTTTGAGTTCAGGTATTGGAAAGCCAGATCACATTATTAATTGATATGTAAGGCTTTTTTTCCCTTTGAAATGCTTTCCCTCTGAAAGGTGACTGGAGCTGTGGTCACACAAACTATATAATACACTTTCAATCCACTTTCCAACTGGATTTTGCCAGTTCACACAGTAAAATCAATTTGGAAAGTGCACTGAAAGTGGATTGAAACTGAATTATTTAGTGTGTGTGACCGCAGCCTGACATTCAATCATTAATAGAACTACTGTGCTTTTGCCAAAGTAACAGACAAATATCCAAGCAGTAGGAGAGCATTCAGAAATATAAGCTGTTTAGACTAGACAATGCCACTTGGTAGTGCATCAGGGAAGAGGTTCTTGCACTACAAAATGCTGATTGTGTTCACAGTTAGTGGATCAGTGTAGGAGTTTTACAGATCAGTGCAAACCTATACTAATCTTTGAAGACTGACTCATGGGTGCACTACACCATGCAAGCTTCCTTTCCCTCTTGGGCTCAGTGGCAGCAGCTGAGTATTGCAACCAACTGTTCCCTTCCACTTCCCCACATTAAATTGTCACTGCATCCATGCTGACTATCCTTATGTTAAAAAAAACTTATGTGAAGAATTGCAATAAATGGTCCAAAACAGCATGGGTAGAGTGTTGCTCCTGTCTAGTGGTAGTAGGGTTGCCACGTTGATTTTCCCTACCGGCGGGGGAGCCTCGCTGGGCTCTGGGAGCTCTCCGTTGATGCGCGTGCGTACCGGCAGCACATCACTGGAAGTGATGCGTGACGTCGAACACGTTGAGGGCGTGGCCCCGATCGTTGGAGGGAAAAACTTACAGTTTTCCCTCCGACGATCGGGGCCACGCCCCCAACGTGATCAACGTGGTTGCGTCACTTCTGGTGGCGCATCCACGCTGCGCTTCGGGGGCGGAGTTCCCCCCGGGGCCCAATTCCGCGGCGGCAGAAATCGGGCCTCCGAAGCGGGGGTTTACCCGCCCCCCCACCCCCACTTGGCAGCCCTCAGTGGTAGCATGAGGTATTCAAACATCAACATTCCACACGGCTTACTACCATAATAGCTAGGTTAAGGGTGTGTGTGTCATGTTTTTCTAGCAACAGTGGTAGGAAAATGTGATTCCCTCAAGCAAAAACAAGAGGTTGAGGAAAGATGTCTGGGTTGCTCCACAACAGAATAATAATTGTGCACGAAATGTTACAACAATGATCTGGAATGGTATTTCCAGCCCTATTAGGAAGAGTTAAGCATTCCACCCCCAGTTTAAAGTATCTGCTCCTTCTGCAGGCCACGTTACATAAGATACATTGATAAGGTGAGCATTCTGCCATAGTAATTCTTAACTGCAGGACTATTTGTGCAAACCCTTTTTTAAAAAGCAGGAGTTATCAGCCTCCTTCAGCAGTATATTGCCCTCATCTGAGCCTTCTTATTCTTAAAATCAGTTCTTTATGCTTTCTCCTTCTTGGACTACTGGTGCTGAATCATGACTAACATTCCTGGACAGGCCCAAGGGAGTGTCAGAACAACTGCATTGGGCTGGTGGCTTTACAAAGAATAAAATAAATTGGATGCAAACCTTTTAAAAATTCAGATTCACAGTTCTCCCCCCCCCAAAGAAAACCCCCAAACCCTAACATAATTCAATCTCAGATTTAGCATGGGGAATGGAAAATTTATTTTATAGAGCAACCTCCCTAAACACAGATAAAGACTGGTTTTGTTTAACTCAGTAGGACAATGATCTTTACCATTTAGCTTCTTGTTTATTTATAGCACATTCCTGTGGCCTAGAGGTGAAACTTCCAGCCCTTAGAGTTACACCAGAGCATTCCAAAGGTGCAGTAGCATAACTTTGGCAACAGCCATGGTAAGCCCTTAGATACCAACTGGGGGCACCATTGTTTCACAAGTATCCTCCTTGCCATTGCCACTGCGGGTCTAAGGATTTTGCTGTTATTGTACCGTATGTTTATCTGAAGATTTATAATTCCTTTCAATTTATGAGAGTTGTCAAACCAGCAAACAAAATTAAAACTAAAAATACATGTTAAAGTTGTTAAAAATAATCTGAATCAGAAGCACTACCTTAGTATCTAAAAGAAATTAGAAGCATTATCTTAGCATTAAAAAGGTAAAGGTTCCCTTGCTCGAAAGCCAGTCGAGTCCGACTCGAGGGTTGCGGTGCTCATCTGCGTTTCAAAGCCGAAGAGCCAGCGCTGTCCGAAGATGTTTCCGTGGTCATGTGGCCGACATGACTAAACACCAAGGCGCACGGAACGCTGTTACCTTCCCACTGAAGTGGTACCTATTTATCTACTTGCAATTTTTTGCTTTCGAACTGCTAGGTTGGCAGGAGCTGGAACTAGAGACGGGCACTCACTCCGTTATACGGCAACTCGGGTCTCGGACGGCTGAACTACTGACCTTCCACAGCCTGCAGTTCAGCGTCTTAACCACTTGAGCCACCGCAGCTCCTTATTATACCTGTGTATAATAAAAGGACCACAACTTGGTGGTTAAAACCTGTGTGAAACCCAGATCCTAGACAGGTCATTAGAAGATGTAGTTAGGGTCAAGCTATCTAGCCAGATCCAAACCTGGTTTTTCAGGTCTTTGCACACTAGTCAGCAATTCGTGGTCCTCCCCCTCTCCCAGTATCTACAAGTCTCCCAGACTTGTCACTCCTCTGCTGGCTGTTTCCAGGTCAGCTGTGATGGAGGGCTCTTCAGGGCACAAACCCTGCTTACACTGAATAAGGCAGCTCTGGTCTGGTCTGGTCTGAAAGCACTCCTGTTACCTCTGTGGATGCTGCTGTTGGTCATCTTCCAGCACCACTGATCTCTCTGTTCAGCTGCAGGTTCCCTTTTGACTACTCATCTAGGAGATCATCCACTTTCTGGTAGGGTTCATCTTGTGTCACTTCTAAAACACCTCTGCTTACATTTGGGTAGTTCATTTGTGCCACGGCTCTGCCTGCTGCCATGCCAGATTGATGAATATGACAATTTGCTTTAAAAGAAAAACCTTAGCCTATGTAAAAGGACCAAGCTCCCAGATTTAGCAAATCTCAAGTGGTATAGAATTTGATTAATTTAAAATCACAACATAAAACATTCTATTACCATATTTATTCAAAAGGAAAACCACCCTGGCTGTAAGACAATCACCCCCGAAGTAATACAAAAATATTTTAAAATTATTGGACATAACTTAAACTTGTATGTGAATTTAAGATGACCTGCCCCCTGTTTTATGGCATACCTTTAGAGCTCACTTCCGGACGGGACTGTGGCCCCACGAACTGCCCTCCAAAACAAACCAATTTGTGCAATGGAGAAATTCGTGGAAGTTTGTGGTAGTTTGTGGTTTGGAGGTTTGTAAAAACCCTGAACCATGAACCTCCACAAACCTCCATTTTTTCTGGTTTGTGTCCACCCCTACTTAGTATTTTAATTACAGAAACAGCGTTTCTTCAGAGTTTCCTATGACAGCGCAGTTTTCTTGGAGTTGGTCTCTTTCTTTGAGCACCTAATTCATTCCTTTCTTGAAACTACAGTTTATTTGTGACTCCTGAGTAATCTACAACCATTTCCCCTTCACATCAGACCCGAGGTCCTCCTCAGAACCAAACCCCCAGAGAAACTGGGCAGGAATTAATCTTCTCCTCAAAAGATCTAACCCTGTTCCTTTTAGCTTGAATGGGAGTTTCAGCACACTACCCAAGCACTCTCACCAAATCACCATCCCAGTTCTGGTGTCTGTGTAAAGCGTACTTTAGCTTAGGCTGACACTTCAGCTCTGAATTCTATTATTGAATTCTTCCTCAGGATAGAAATGTTACAGTTAAGGCAAATGAGTTTTTTCCCTTCACTCTAAGGTGATTCTTCCTGTCTGACTTTTCCTATCAGACTCACTGACTCTAGACTCTGTCAGAAAACAACTGACTGCCTTCAGAATGGTTTCAACTGACAGAACGTCCGGAATGGAATGAACCATCTCAAATTTCCTCAGCACTCGGCTGATCATAACTTTTTCTCAGCTGGCCCTGGCTAATTAGAGATGAGAGGCAGCCTGTCACTCAAGCTTTCCATTTCAATGGAGCGTTAACCCTTCACCTCCCGTATCTCTGATTCTGCTGCACTAAGAACCTGGTTTTTTAAGTGCAGTCTGTCACAAAAGCCATAGAATCCAGCCTCCAAAGCATCCTTTTTCTTCAGGGGCATTGATCCCTTGACTCTGGTGACGCGCTGTAATTCTGGGACAACCCTAGGACCCACTTGGAGGCTGGCAACCAGACTTGCCCCTCTCCCAACTGGGGAGTGGTGGGGGCTTGTGATGGGAGTGGGTCTCTTTAAGGGGTGAGCCACCAGAGGGAGTGGCCATCCTCTGGACTGCCCCTCTCCACCTCATGGCAATGTTGTGGCCTTGGCTTTGCCTTCTCAACTCAGACGTCGCATTGAGCCAGCCTACCCTGCCTGTCATGCCGTCCTGCCTCGCAACAATGCCAGAAAGACATGGTGAGGCAGAATCACCATGGACACTACCATGGCAGCAGCCTGCATCACTATTGGGGCACCTTTTCTCCCATTCGGCCCTATGTAACTATCCCCTTAGGGTGCTGACTGGTGGAGCTGCAGTTTAGCTGCTGCTGGCCACTGCAGCACTGGCACGGCTCAGGATTGCTCTGCACATCATCTACTTGTACAACAAGAGGACATGGAACAAATCCCTTCAGCATGGTTTGAAACCTATACATGCAGAAGTCACATACGCAAGACAATAATGTCCAGTCTTTGGTATTTGCGCCTTTAACATTTCAACACAGAATACTGTAAAGTAAGAGCACCTAACCAGAAGTACTATGAGGAATTTGTCACAGTTACAGCAAATGAACCTTTTCTCTTCTAACTAGAGGAAAGAAAATTGAGACAGGCATTTCAATAGTGTTATAGTGCTATGTTCATTGTATCTCTGCTGTCTCTTTTAGCCTTGGGGGGGGGGGGAAATGAAGGAAGCTTGACTGGAAAGAGCTCTAGGGCATCACTACATAATCCAAGGTAGTGTAGCGGTATAGCAGCTGAGTGCCTTCTGTCTGTCTTGGCACCAGATCTGGCATCAAGTTAAAACATACTGAAGTCCCAGTGGAGTTCACCACCATACTATGGCAGTTATAACAGAGGAACAGTGCAGGGACAAGATCAACCACTGTAACCTTTGAAGACTTATTTGAAAGCTGCCTGACCTGCCAATAATCTTTGATGAAACTTTAAAGTAAAGAAGTAACATACTGTGTAGATTCCTTTAAGAAAACATTTTGCATCCTTTGCAGCAGGTTCGCCTTCTCTTACAGGTAGGAAAATCAATGCAGTCACAGTTCATACCCAAAAGCACTTGCTCGCTGAGGTTAAGAACATAAGAACATAAGAGAAGCCAATGTTGGATCAGGCCAAAGGCCCATCCAGTCCAACCCTCTGTCACACAGTGGCCAAAAATACCAGGTGCCATCAGGAGGTCCAGCAGTGGGGCCAGGACGCTAGAAGCCCTCCCACTGTTGCCCCCCGCCAAGCACCAAGAATACAGTGCATCACCTGCCCCAGAGTCCCTATCCATACCTTGTGGCTAATAGCCACTGATGGACCTCTGCTCCATATATTTACCTAATTCCCTCTTGAAGCTGTCCATGCTTGTAGCCACAGCCACCGCCACCTCCTGTGACAGTGAATTCCATGTGTTAATCACTCTTTGGGTGAAGAAGCACCCATTCTAACCCGTTCATCCGTTCTAACCCGACTGCTCAGCAATTTCATTGAGTGCCCACGAGTTCTTGTATTGTGAGAAAGAGAGAAAAGTACCTCTTTCTCAATCTGCTCTATCCCATGCATTATCTTATAAACCTCGATCATGTCCCCCCTCAGCCGTCGTTTCTCCAAGCTAAAGAGCCCTAAGCGCTTTAACCTTTCTTCATAAGGAAGGTGTTCCAATCCTTTTATCATTCTAGTTGCCCTTTTCTGCACTTTTTCCAAAGCTATAATATCCTTTTTAAGGTGTGGTGACCAGAACTGTACACATTATTCCAAATGAGGTTGCACCATTGATTTATATAGGGGCATTATGATATTGGCTGATCTGTTTTCAATTCCCTTCCTAATAATCCCCAGCATAGCATTGACCTTTTTTATTGCAGTCACACACTGTCTCGACATTTTCAGTGAGTTATCTACTATGACTCCAAGATCTTTCTCTTGGTCAGTCCCTGCTCCCCCATCAATGTGTATTTATAGGCCCCGGTCACATGGGCCAGAAAATGTGGGGGGAGCGTGGCTGTTTGCCCTGGAGCAAACTAACACGCGGCCGCCGGATCACACATCCCGCCGACGTCCCGTGGTTCAGGGGGAGGTGCCGATCACATGACAATCCTGCAGTGCAGCAAAGAAGCGGCGTGGCCTGATCACAGCAGCAATGGCTAGGTGCCGCTGCCGTGGCAAACGGGGTTGTTTTTTTAAAAAACCGAAGTGTGCGCATGCGCCGTTGGGTGCTTGTGCGCATCCCGTAGAGATTTGGGGGGGGGGACCTTTTTGCAACGGGGCATGGGTGGACGCCGGATGCCACGAGCTACCACCGGAAATGCGATCAGACGCCCGCCCTTGCCCCGTGGTTTCCGGAAACTAGTACCTCGGAGGTACTAGTTTTTTACGCCACATCTTCAGCGGGAGGCCTTGGCTTAGCCACGGGAGCTCTACGCTTCCCAGATGTTGCAGTGTGATCACACCCGGAAAATCTGCCTATCTTCTGTCTCTGTAGCGTGGCTAATGCTCCGTGTGACCGCAGCCACCGTTAGGTTTTTCGGCTCCGATGTGCATCACCTTGCACTTGGCCACATTGAAGCCCATTTGCCATGTTGATGCCCACTCGCCCATCCTTGACAGATCCCTTTGGAGTGCCTCACAATCCTCCCTGGTTTTTACCACCCTGAACAACTTCGTATCATCCGCAAATTTAGCCACATCACTGCTTACTCCCAACTCAAAATCATTGATGAACAAGTTAAAAAGCATCGGACCGAGTACTGATCCCTGCGGTACCCCACTGCTTACCACATTCCACTGAGAAAATTGCCCATTTATACTCTCTGTTTCCTATTAATTAGCCAGTTTTTGATCCACAAAAGGACTTGTCCTTTTATCCCGTGATTTTTGAGCTTACTAAGGAGCCTTTGATGAGGAGCTTTATCGAAAGCTTTCCCTCTAGCAGCTCTGTCTCCTTCTCCTTCTCAGAGCTCAGCTGGTTCATAGGAATGTTCCTTTCACTCAACTCCAAACACTTTCAGTGATTTCTGTGATATTTATTCTGTTGCTGTTAAATTTAAAATTTTCTTTTCGATTCAGGTTTTTTTACAGAAGTACAAAAGTACTGAGGGCTGTGAAATTATACTGTTAACAGATGGAGAAGATTCAACTGTAAGTTCTTGCTTTGGTGCAGTTGAACAAAGTGGCTCAATAATTCATACTATTGCCTTAGGGCCAAGTGCTGCAGAAGAACTAGAAATGTTGGCAAACAAGACAGGTAAGCAAGATATAAAAATATTACAAGATTTATTTCAATGCTATACAGTGGTGGTTAGTGCCTCCAGGAGGGAGTTCTAGAAGTCCCACCCAGCCTGTCAATACATATCCTTGACACATTCTTCTACCTCATTCACCAAAAGGGCTTCCTACCTATTCCATTGCTGTCCTGTCAGCCATGATATCTTAATGCAATGTCCATGCTCAGAGGCAATGGCTGTGGTCATACACACTAAATAATCCACTTTCAATGCACTTTCTAACTGGATTTTGCCAGTTCACACAGTAAAATCCAGTTGGAAAGTGCATTGAAAGTGGATTATTTAGTGTGTGTGATAGCAGCCAATATATGCCAGATGACAGTGACAACAAACAGAAGGATGCCAACAACTTTATTTTCTTGTGAACTTCCAGAAACGTCTAACTAGCTGTTGTTGGGGAAAGAATGGACTAAATAAAAACAGCAGAGGTCTTTTCCGTTCTAACAAACAATTTCTTGTTTCCTTCATCTCAGTGCAACTACTATTTAAGCAATAGCTAATATAGTTATAATTAGAATAGCTGAAGATATTTGTATCCTTTAGATACACTAACAAGGTAATCATTGGATTAGCTGGTAGGACATACCCTGAAGCTTGTAGTACATAACTTGATGTTTGTCCATTTTTCCCAAAGTATTCTGCATAGAACATGAAAAGAACAACAATTATATGTAAACAATAGTATTTTGATAATAAAACCTTTTGCTCCATGTAAAGTAACATATCAGAAGATATATTTATTCCACAGTTATCATTCCAATAGTTCAAAAATAATATCAGTTTTTCTTGAAAAATTATTCTTTTTCTTCCAATCCCATTTCAGGAGGTTTGAGATTTTCTGCCACTGATAACTTGGATTCCAACAGTCTTATAGAAGCTTTCACTGGAATTTCTTCAAGGGATGGAAATATCTCACAACAAGCTATTCAGGTCTGGATGTCAAAGATTTGGGAGCAAGCAGGGGTCCACAATATGAATTGAAGTACCATTTTAAGATCAAATTACTCCCAACTGAGGCACCTCTGGTGGCTGGTTGTTCAAAATGTTGAAAATATTCAGATTGGTGGAGTATTAATAATGCAATGAAAAAAAGAAAAACAAGTAGCATAAAATAGCAAGAAGAAAATAACATAACATTTTTTCCTTGAAATAACATTGAAGTGTGATAATTTACATGTAATCAATTGTATTATTTTGTATTGAGAAGGAAAGTCTTTTGACTATTTCCCCATAAAATGGATAATACTTCACAGTAATTCCCACATCTCCAGTTTCATGAATGCCTTGGCAGGGGTTTCATCTAGTTAAATGATATTACCATATTTTCTCTTCAGTGTTTCAGTTATACTTTATAAAATGTAATCAGTCGAACAATCCATGTTTTGCTAATATTGTAGAACTGAAAGCTACCAGAAATTTATACAGGAGAGATGAAAGACAGAAGAATGATGTCTTTGTTTTGGTTGAGCTGAGGCAGTATTTTGTCAACATTTTGATATGTACTAACTGCTGTAATCCAACTATATGCATGTACATGGTGCTCCTAGTTCATTGTTTATCAATGTCAATTCTGATGTGGTGGCACATTCAACACAGCTTCTGCCATCACATTTATGAGAGATTTTATACTATTTCTGGGAATGCAAGAAATAATTTTGTTGCACTTCCCATCTTTGGCACATTCAGTTAGAAGGGGCCTAGTCTCTAAAGGAGCAATCCTGAGGCAGCATACGCAGTAGAAAGCCTAATTTTATTCAATGGGGCTTACCCCCAGGAAAATGTTCTTAGAATTTCAGACTTACATTCTCGTATCACAGTGGGTGATTCTGCATCTGGCATTCGCTCCACATTTTCTCAACACTGTGGAAAAGGTGCAGCTCAAAACCACATTCAAATACCCTGGGGCAACACCATACTGACTGCAAAGTCACCCCTGAATGGCCATAAATCTATGCAGATGTTACCATAAAACCCAATGATCAAAAAAAGTGAAAGCAGCATGCAATGCAGAGGGGAATTTCTGTTCCAGCATGGGTTTGGTAAAACAAGGGAAGGAAAAGCCAATGCAGAATTGCCCAATGACTGATGTTTTGCTTTCAGTCTTAGCCTCTTATTAGTGATGACTGATTTTACTTGGTCAGAATTTGTTCTAGCTATGTACATATTACTTTTAACAGATGTCTCATAAATGAAATTAATTTCTTATTAATGTGCAATTGAAACATACTGACAAATTATATATTTTCCCTCCAGTGGACTATGTATTTAACGCAGAAGAAGACTGGTCATGATCTATTTTGAGTAGTGCAGAGCATAGCAGCTTATGCCTAGTGTTGTTATGATGAAGCTGCCATTACTCCTGTCTGTTAAATATTGCTGCCCTTTGACCTACCTTCATGTGTTTAGCTATGAGAAGTTACAGGATTCCAGACCAATGTTCTCAAGGAGGTAGCAGCATTTATACCTGCCAGAGCATTAAGTATTTGTCTACCACCACAACTATCCACTGTGAAGAGACTTCCTAGGCAGTGTACTGACTTTTTTACCCTCTAAGAAATGAAATAAACCTTATCAAGTCTGTAAAACTTTTCATGCTATATGATACTTTTCTCATTTCCCAACAGCTTGAAAGCAAAGGTCAGAACATCAAACCCATGGACTGGCTGGATGGTACTGTGTCAATTGATAAAACTGTGGGAAATGACACTTACTTCATAGTTACTTGGAGTGTCAGTGTGTACCCACCTGGAATATTCCTGACTGATCCAAAAGGGAGAAAATACAGGCAAACGGACTTTGTCATTGATAATACCAATCTCCATATGGCTCGACTCAAGATCAATGGAACTGCAGAGGTAAAACCTGTGTTTTTTAAAATGTTGAGCTTGAAATATTTCAGTCTCATATTTCAATTTATCAAACCCACAAGATGGCTCTCAACAAATAAAAACAAGCCATACTGATTAAAACTAAAACTACAGAAGTGCAAGCAGTAACAGAATTGGGGAAGTAAAATAAAATCATAAGACAGATCAAAAGCCAAACCAGGAACAGGAACAGCATCTCTCTCTGGGCACCTCAAAGAGCACTTATCCAATACCAGAATGCAAATAGGGAGGGAAGTCATCTCCCGTTGGGCGAAAGATGCATGGCTTCTCTCTACAGCCCTACAGAGATAGTAAGGAATAGATGTGCTTCTTCCTTTGAGGAAATAGGCAGACCTGCCTTGTGGAGCAAATGGAATAGCAGCTTTCCCAACAAAATTTTCTGCAGCTAAAGTGACAGCTCCACCAAGTGTGCCTCTGAGATTTCATTGATCCTAAATTATAGCCTTCCATGCTCATTGACTTCAATTGACATAGAAGGCTGTAACTCTACTTAGGCAGCATTAGCAGTAACCAGAGCCCTAGCTGAAGCATCCTGTAACAGTTCTTTCACCTAAACTGGGGCTATGCGCTACAGCCATTCATAATTCAGGTTTCAGAACTTATGCTGGAGTGCTATCAGAGCAGCTATCTGGGTCTCTGCCAGCTCCCCTGAAGCTTATCCCCCCCACCCAGGGATAAGCTCCCTTTTATGCTAGTGATCACTTGGGACATACTGAGAAAGGAAAGCTGCTTAAGGTTGCTCACAACATTCATGAAATGCCTACAGTTGGTTTTCCCAAACTTCACCTAGCTAAATGGCTAATTCACACATTGTAAAATCCTCATGGCTGTCATGAGAACGTTTTATCAGACATATGCCTGGAGTTTCCTATCAAGAGCTCAGCTCCTAGAGTGGCATATCATACAGAGATGCAGGAGGAAACTTTATAAGACTTGGAGATTGCAGTGAACTTTAATTATTGCATTTATTTCTAATGGCAAAAAAACACTGCTCTCATGGGCCAGTGGTGTGCCTCTCAGTGAGGAAAGACAGGTGAGTGGGCTACCTCCTTGTTTTATCTGTCACATTTGTAAGAAGTTATGGTGTTATTCTATTTATCCTCTTCTGAGGTAGACTGAGAGACATAATTTAATTATGACTTGGAAGTTGCCACTTTTTCTTCTGAGACATATTTTGTATTCTCAACAGCCACCTAACATACATAAATACAGCTGGAACAACTTTCCCTATTTTAGTATCTTCATGATGAAAAGATTTCACTGGCTAAAATTTTGCCTGATAGTCTTCAGCTGTGTGAGTAAGGACTTGAGAATGTGAGACAGTGATGTCCATTTTCATGGTCTCCATCTGCTGACAGGATTTGAACTCAGGAAAAAACTGTCTTCCATTGCACAAAGCAAGATAGTGTCCTGTTTATAAATCAGCTGTGATGTTACAATACTAATGATTAAGAAATCACTTTCAAAATCAGTTAATGTGGACCAGTCTCTTGCAAAACTTTTTAGTGCAGGAAACTCTGAAGAGTTGAACTCTAGAGTATATAAAGAGTATATAACCGGAAGGTATCACAGGGGCTGTAATGAGTTCTTCTAAAGTCATTCACTCAGGATCTTTTCTGAAATTGCAGTTTACATTATATTTGACTGGTTAGTATACTATTTTATCTTTCCTAAACTGAACTCTAATAGAATAGTTTTAGATGCAGTTTGGCAGTCCATAGTATTTATCTGAATAGACAGATTATAAAAGCAATCCTGAGAATCTAGAATACTATTTCAATGAAAGGAAGATCTGATTCAAAATGTGGACAGTCCTGCAGCAGTCTTGAAAGCTAGCATTGTATAGTGGTTAAGAGTGGTGGACTCTACTCTGGAGAACCGAGTTTGATTCTCCACTCCTCCACATGAAGCCTGCTGGGTGACCTTGGGCCAATCACAGTTCTCTGAGAACTCTCTCAGCCCCACCTACCTCCCAAGGTACCTGTTGTGGGGAGAGGAAGGGAAGGTGATTGTAAGCTGCTCTGAGACTCCTTAGGGTAACTCTTCTTCCTTTTCTTCATCAGCAGCAATCTCTACCGAAAGCAAAGAGTAGAAACAGAACAGTTGATATGGACCAGTCAAGAACAAGATTAGGAGGAGAAGCAAGACCCTATTCTGTAATTTTGTTCATAGGATAAAGATCAGGCGGAAACACAGAGATTAGGGGGCTGAATATCAGTGTAGATCAGAGAATACCATCATGGAGTCCTACCAGTGGGAATCAAGCTTTCATCCCCTAGTTTGTCCCATGCCCTTCCAATGTGACTCTGCTACCCACGACTCCTAGTGCCTTTAAAAAAAATCACCTCATTCTTGTCAAACATAGTATGCAATGAAAAACAAGCTGAATTTATTAAAAAAATGCCTTCGAGACTGATGATGTGATTACAAAACTTTGATTTGCAGGCAGGAGACTGGAGTTATGCAATCCAAAGTACACACACAGCAGGAGCTCAAGTCATATCGATGACAGTCACCACTCGAGCTGCGTCTCTGACTGTGCCTCCAGTGACTGTGAAGTCCTATTTGAATAAAGATACCAATAACTACCCTAATCCAATGATCATTTATGCAGAAGTGAGTCAGGGTTTTTTGCCTGTTATTGGTGCAAATGTCACAGCCACTGTTGAACCAGCATCTGGCACTGTTGTAGAATTAGAACTTTATGACACTGGTTCAGGTAAGTACACTTCGAAATATTCATTATAGCATACACTTTAGAATGTTGTTTTCTGCTTTTTGCATTGTTTAAGATATGTCATCTTTTAAGACTTTGTTTGCATTGCTGCCTGATTTTGTAATGCTAATCCTGTTGCATTGCTTTTTGAATGTTTTATGCGGCCTGATTGAATTACTTCCATTCTACATTGAGAAAGATGGGCTATAAATGAAGTAAGTGAGTAAATATGAAGCTGCTTTATATTGAGTATGTACTGGCATTCTATGTAATGAGAAACATAATGATTTGCCATTACAGGAACAAACCTTCAAAATCCTTAGGTTCATGCTATCCCCCCCCCCCTTCTGCTAGCACACAGCATGGAAATTGAAGACTAAATCTGTTTTTTCCCCTTCTTTCCTTCTTTCTGCAAATTAGTATTCCTAAACCTTGATTTCAGGGGAAGTACTTCATGTACAACTTCATGCCATTCCTTTAATTTATTGATAAGCAACTGTTGGGAGAAAGGAAGATGGTGGTGGGAAAGCAAACCAGGAGTAGATGTTTTGGGGAGAGAAACTGTGTGAGCTTAGTCCTTGTACTGAAAACCCTGAGCTAAATTCCTGTGCTCAGAGCTAACTTGCTGCTGAATTATTGCAAAGCGGTAGTTAGGTGTTGCAGCAAGATAAAACAGCCTTTTCCTCTCTTAATTTCTCTATCCTCTTTTCCATATTTTTCTCATTCATTTCTGTCTTCCTTCAACTAATTTTTCCATGTCCCCCTTATTTTCACTTCTTGGTCTCAAGTTCTTCTCACTCCTATCCTGCTTGGTGACAGAATGTATTTAAGAGCTATATAGTAGCAAACCTTTGTTAATATTATGAACAGAAAGCACTGGGTTTGCTAGGCAGTGTACATTGCACTGATTTTGCTGGGCTTCCAACCCCCCCTTGCTTGGATTGTGATTCTGTGTTTGACATCAGTCCTGTTGAGCTGGCATTGCCACAATGGCACTGGGTTCTGCTGAGCACCCTGGGATTGCAGTGGTAATGCTGAATACTCTGTACATTGCACTGGTTCTGCTGGGCTTGCAAAAATCCCCCCCTTCAGTTTCTACAGCAGAGATTTTCTAGTCTGACTTCAATCCTTTGGAAACAATGGAGGATTCTTTGTGGGGTAGTGTGTTTCTTAACACTCCATCTGGTGAAGCTTGCAATCACTATTTTGTGATGCTTTGTCTAGTGTTGGTTAGTAAAAGTTAGTACAAAGGCAAACTCCAAGTTGTCAAAAATGCCTTGTAGATGCTTGGGATGGTTAGCTCTTGGGCCTCAAAATGGAGAATAGAATTGCCTACTCAGAACAGGAGGGATGTGATGGAATTTATTTTGCTGTCAAGTCATAGCCCTGCTTAGCTTCTAAGATCTGAGAATCCTGGGGCTATCCAGGTCAGGGCTAGGCTGAGAGTGATGTGACTGGCCCAAAGTTACCCAGCAAACCTACATGGCACAAATGGGGATTCAAACCTTGATTTCCCATATCCTAGTCTGACAATTTAACCACTACACCATGCTGGCTCTCGTGATGAAACAGTATGTTGGAATTTGATATTTTTTTACTGGCACGATTATATGTATGAAGTTATATAAAAGGCATTTTTCACAGTCTATGTTTCTTTCCTGGCCATTAATATTATTATTCATTTTATTTCATTATTATTACTGCAAATCATTTTGTTGTAGTGACCTGTATAACCCCAGCCTAGCCTGATCTCGACAGGCTGGTACAAATTGTATGTATTTGCTGGTACTTACTTGTGGCAATGGAGGTGGAGTCAGTGCTTCATTTCTAAAGAGAGAGATGGCATTACCATCAATATATAATCTTTACTTCTTCATTCTAAGTGTGCATATAAGAACATAAGAACATAAGAGATGCCAATGTTGGATCAGGCCAAAGGCCCATCCAGTCCAACACTCTGTATCCCACAGTGGCCAGAAATACCAGTGCCATCAGGAGGTCCACCAGTGGGGCCAGGACATTAGAAGCCCTCCCACTGTTGACCCCCCCCCCAGCACCAAGATGAAAAGCATCACTTGCCCCAGAGTCCCTATCTATACCTTGTGGCTAATAGCCACTGATGGACCTCTGCTCCATATGCTTATCTAATTCCCTCTTGAAGCTGATCTGTTTACAATACCCTTCCTAATAATCCCCAGCATAGCATTGGCCTTCTTTATTGCAGTCACACACTGTCTCGACATTTTCAGTGAGTTATCTACTACAACTCCAAGATCTCTCTCTTGATCTGTCTCTGCCAGTTCAGACCCCATCAACGTGTATTTATAGTTAGGATTTTTGGCTCCAATGTGCATCACCTTGCACTTGGCCACATTGAACCCCATTTGCCATGTTGACGCCCACTCGCCCAACTTTGACAGATCCCTTTGGAGTGCCTCACAATCCTCACTGGTTTTCACCACCCTGAACAACTTCGTATCATCCGCAAATTTAGCCACTTCACTGCTTACTCCCAACTCCAAATCATTAATGAACAAGTTAAAAAGCAGTGGACCAAGTACTGATCCCTGTGGTACCCCACTGCTTACACCCCTCCACTGGGAGAACTGCCCATTTATACTCACTCTCTGTTTTCTATTAATTAGCCAGTTTTTGATCCATAAAAGGACTTGTCCTTTTATCCCATGATTTTTGAGCTTGCTTAGGAGCCTTTGATGAGGAACTTTATCAAAAGCTTTCTGGAAGTCAAGGTAAACAATATCTATTGGATCCCCCTTGTCCACATGTTTGTTCACCCCCTCAAAGAACATTAACAGGTTAGTGAGACAAGATCTTCCCTTACAGAACCCATGTTGAGTCTGCCTCAATAGGTTTTGTTCATCTATGTGCCTACTAATTCTTTCCTTAATAATGGTTTCCACCAATTTACCCGGTATCGACGTCAGACTGACTGGCCTGTAATTTCCCGGATCTCCTCTGGAACCCTTTTTAAAGATGGGAGTGACATTAGCTACCTTCCAGTCCTCAGGAATGGAGGCTGATTTTAAGGAGAGATTACATATTTTTGTCAGGAGATCCACAAGTTCACAATTGAGTTCTTTCAGAACTCTTGGATGTATGCCATCTGGGCCTGGTGATTTATCAGTTTTTAAGTTGTTTATCAGTTTTAGGACCTCCTCTCTCGTCACCTCAATCTGACTCAGGTCTTTCAACACCCCTCCCGAACTCAGCGGCTCTGGAGTGGGCAAGCACCTCTCATCTTCCACAGTGAAGACGGAGGCAAAAAATGCATTTAGCTTCTCAGCCATTTCCCTATCATCCTTCAGTACTCCTTTTACCCCTTGGTCATCCAAGGGCCCCACTGCCTCCCTGGCTGGTTTCCTGCTTCTAATGTATTTGAAGAAAGTTTTATTGTTGGTCTTTACATTTTTTGCTATATGCTCCTCATATTCCCTTTTTGCCTGCCTGACCACAGACTTGCATTTTATTTGCCATAGCCTGTGTTCTGTTTTATCAGCCTCACTGTGACTAGCTTTCCACCGCTTAAAGGAATCCTTTTTACCTTTTACAGCTTCCATTACTTTGTTTGTTAACCATGTAGGCTTTTTCTTATACCTGTTTGTGCCTTTCCTAACCTGCGGAATATATTTTTTTTGAGCTTCTAGAATTGTAGTTTTAAACAGTTTCCAAGCTTCCCCAATGGTTTTGACCCTTTCTACTTTTCCCTTCAGTTTCCTCCCCACATGTCCCCTCATATCAGAAAAATTACCCCTTTTAAAGTTAAAAGTGGTTGTGTGAGTCTTTTTGGCCAATTCCCTATTTGTACAAATGTTGAACTCAACAACATTATGATCACTGTTCCCAAGCGGTGCAATCACTTTTACATCTCTCACCAGGTCTTGAGTGTTACTTAGGACCAAATCAAGGATCGCCTCTCCCCTGGTAGGTTCCATGACCATCTGCTCCATAGCACAGTCATTTAGAGTGTCTAGAAACTCAATCTCTTTCTCTTGACTAGAACACATATTGACCCAATCAATGTGTGGGTAGTTAAAATCACCTATTACGACACAGTGTACACATGTATATGTGTGAGTGCTCACATCTGTATTGGGGGGGAGCCTGTCATTGAGGGGAATCATACTGGATATGCTCAAAGACTGTTTCTGTTATTATGGGTGAAATGTCTAAAGAGATAAGTTTTTAATAATCAAACATGGCATACAAGCCCAAAATTTTTAATTAAAGATTGTTATGACACTAGCCATGAAAATTTCAAGTTAAAGATTCTTATTAGTTATAGTTACTTAACTGTTACTTAATGGTTATTTCTCCTTAAGAATTCTCTAGCATGTGCCCAGGAATGAAAACCCCATTCTTGTAATCATGGTTGTTGAGGACGGGCATAACAAAGCTCCCCAAATAGCCCAACATCATTGGTCTTTTTGTGCTGCCAGCAGGGGATGTCCCAGCAGGGGCAGTGATAATGCTGGGAGGGAAGCCAGCAACAGCCCCAGTAGTGCCAAGGAGAAGGTGCCCAGATGTTCTCCAGTATGCTCTGGAGAGACCCAGAGTTGGAGAGAAGACCCCTGGTGACCCCATCATCTCAAGATACAGAAGTTGTTGAATCTCCCCGCAAAATTATGCTAGAGGTGACCCAGGCCCAGGAGTTCAAGCCAGTATGGGCACTGCCTGACAGCATAGATTCACTGTCCTTTTTTGCGCTATTCACTTATTGTGTTGGACAGTGTTCTTCAGCTAAAATGCCTAGTAGATACATATGATTGGTCCAAGGATTGCCAGCCAATAACCCGTCTTAATGTACATCCAGCTTGATAGAATACACTGGTTTGTCCAGACTTGCTGTCGTGGTTATAATTGCAACAAATAGCAGTGCACACAAATATTAATACATCAAAGTATATTAATAGATTAGCTTTTAGCAAACATATGACTCCCCAGAATTCAGTTTTTATCTATGAAAATGCAAGCAGATGACATGAACTTATTGTATGATTTTTAAAAAATAATCAGCAGTAAGATTTTTTATTTAGAAATTCTTTCTAGAGGGAATTAACACCTTTGGAGAGGATCATCAAATTATACCCTGTTACACCAAAAGGGATCCTATCTAAAATCTACAAGGCGATAGCGATAGCAGGAAATCAAGTGAGATTGAGTTACCAACACCGATGGGAAGAGGACCTCGGTCAGCAATGGGAGGATGAAGACTAGGGGATAATATGGGCCTCTCCAATGAACAAAACTGCAATATTTAATCTTCGACTACAACACTTCAAACTGGTCACGAGGTGGTACATGACCCCATTGCAATTGAGCAAAATCAGCAATTCCAATAACGCTAAGTGTTGGAAGGGATGTGGGCAGGTAGGCTCTTATATTCATTGCTGGTGGAGTTGCCCAGTAATCCACCAATTTTGGAAGGAGATAACTCTACGCATGAGGGAAATGACAGCCCAAAAAAATCTCCTTTAAACCGGAAACGATGTTACTGAACAAATGGGACGACTCTACAAAGGAAGACAAAAGACACCTCAAGTCGCTTCTGTTAACAACGGCCAAACTTACAATAGCCGCGCAGTGGAAGTCCCCAGACCCTCCAACTTTATCTCTATGGCATGACAAGCTGTGGGAACAGTTCGTCATGGCGAAAATTAACAATTTGAATCAGGGGGCTCAGGCGCATAACATCACATCGCAGCTAAAATTTGGAAGATTTTGGACGTCAGTAATGGTCTATTTGACGAATCACGAGATATTACCTACAAACCACATCTATCATAGATGGCTGTTCTTATAATGCCTGTGATATCTGCGGTTCCTGAATAAGAGGAGTATTCTGATCAAGGGTGGAAAGGAGGAGGGCAGATTTTAGTTCTAATGGGCCTAAATGTAGTTAAATCCGGTCACCATGAGTTAAACTTGTAACCCGCCCCGGCTCACGGTGGATGTGATAATTATAGTGGATACTGTTTACATATCTTTGATGGACACACAGTGTAGTGCATGTATTGTTTGAAACTTCATTTCCTCCATTTGTGTTTATGTATACTTTCAAGTAAAAGAATAAAAATAAAATTTAAAAAAATAATTAAAAAAAGAAATTCTTAATATTTACTATATCAAGGTGCTGACATTCTCAAGCATGATGGAATCTACTCAAGATATTTCACATCTTTCAATGGAGATGGAAGATACAACATAAAAATACGTGTCCAAGGGAAAGATAAGACTGTCAGACGTGTCCGTAGATATAGTCAAGCTCTGTATGTGCCAGGATATGTAGAAAATGGTAAGAATTCATTGTGAAATAACATTGTTGTCTATGTAAAATGTAAAGGAATGGGTTACCTTCTCATAATGATACTGAAAATGTGAAATGCATGTCTCTACGGAGACACAAACGTCTCACTGGTCAAATTGTCTTTGCTTTGCAATTTCTAAAACCATGGGTATTACAAAGTATGGAATAGTGTGGAGTGCTGATCTGGTGAGAAGAATAGATGTCATTAGACCCATTCATGTACACATGTATAGATTAAAATCATGTATAGATTAAAAAGGGAAACAATAAGATTTTTTTGTCTTATTATCTTCAAAGACCTTCTGTGCAAAAGCAAATAAAGGCTATCAGATTAAGGAGATGGTTTAGAAACTCACTTCTTGTCACACATTAAAATACATCTCTTTTGGCCTTTTTTGATAGGTGTAATAAAAATGAACATGCCAAGACCTGAAGTCAGTGAGGATGAAATCCAACCAGACATTGGAAATTTCAGCAGAATTGCATCAGGAGGTTCTTTTGTACTGGCAGGAGCTCCTCCAAGTGGTTCAAGTCCTCCTCCAGATGTCTTTCCACCCTGTAAAATCACTGACCTTGAAGCGCAGTTAGAAGATGATGAATTCCTTTTGTCCTGGACAGCTCCTGGGAATGACTATGATATTGGGAAAGGTATGAAATTTTGCTTTAAGCAGAGGGCTCTGATAAGTTGCCAAAACCATCCCTAGGGGTCTGTAGGGCCTGGTGCAAATTAATCTATTTGGATCCCGCCTTCCCCATTCCTGTTTGTCCATACCCTGAATGAATCCAGCAAAGGAGGCAGGCATGTCCATCCTGACACCTGGCATTGACATTGGGTTGGATCAACGAGTTTTATTTCTGGTGAAAAAAGGAGGAGGGCATCCTCTTTGACCACGAAAAACATTATTCCAGGGATCCTAACTCCTGTATGTAGAAAGCCATGTGGGATAGGGCCTGTAGGAGAACTGGATGAGATCAAGTAAAAAAGCTATTTGGATCCAACCCATTATAATACTGTGACATCCCACCCACTGCACAAGCTTTTCCTGTGACTCATGCCACTTTCTCCCAGCTGACTCTACCCTGGCTGTTTGGCAGCTGAGTCTTTCTCCTTTTGGTGGCTCCCTAGCAAGATTTGTTGTTCACCAGCCCCCTCCCAGCTGTCTCTTGGTAAGCCAAGTCACTGTTGCAGTCTGGTAAAGGCAGGGTTGGCAGGAAAGTATTACGTCTGACACTATGATGTCAAAGTATGGGATCCCTCAGACTGTGGAGCTTGGGACAATAATCCCAGTTTGCCTTACTCTGTTAATTACTGGTTCATCAGTGCAGCTTCTGTGCAGGCACACGTTAGGGTTGTGCATATGCAGGTTGGTCATGGGAAAGATTTCCAGAGCTTTCTAGAAGGCTAGGATTGCCCCACTTCCCTTGGCGCTTTCTCACCAAAATGGTGACATGAGTGAGAGGAAGAACACTACTCTCTGGGTTCACTTTTTTGCCACCACAGAGGGAGGATCTCCATTGCTGTTCTCTGTTTTTCCCCTCACCTCATTCCTTAGGCTGAGGAGACTTCTTTTCTCTTAGACATTTTATCATCATCAATCTTCATTGCAGTGAGGAATAAAACTACATCTAAAGAAGAAATGTTTCTGTTTTTTCAGCTTTCTTGTTATGGCTCAAAAGGGTCCTCTTTAGGATTGTGCTGACTCTGGCTTTAAAAGGATGCTGATAAACATCCATTCTGTGTGCATTCCCTGCTCTGGGAATCATACCATACAGCTACTTGCTCTTTCGGTCATCAGTTTACCCTAAAGGCATGATATGAATTTGTGGAAGTTTTCAGGCTAGCCCTATGTCCCCCTACATGTCCCCCTACAGGGACACTCTCATTTCTGAGGTAAGACTCCTGGAGACTCACATCTGAAAGAACTTTGAATTCAGAGTGGCTCTTTTTCAGAGGGCCAGATTAACGCCAACCGATGCCCTAAGCACAGCCTCATCCCTTCCATTGCTTAACTGACAAGACATTAAGACTCAATAAGTGCTGAAAAGGTTAGTGCTGAAGAGGTTAATAAGAGTTTAAAAATTCAGTTTTCTTCCAGGCTATCCCCCAGGCTAGACCCCACAACTATATTAAATATAAACTTTTTAAAATATATTTAACACTAAACAGCAGTAATCAGTATAAGAAATTATTTACTTATAACTAGAGCAACAGGAAAAATGCAAAATTTCAACATGTTTTAATGCATTTTTAATAACATAGTTATAAGGCAAAAATGCAAATACAAAAATTTATTGAAAACTATTTTAATCACTTTCTGAAAGATTATAAGGCAAAATATTATCTGATATTATTTCTACTGAAATTACGTGATCTCGAGAGCATATGTTTCCATTGTGAAAATCGTCTTTCAACAGACATCAGTGTTAGTGGACAATTTTTTTAAAAAAAGATATTTGAATGGAGAAATTTGATTTGCATGAAACAAAACATCTTTTATTCCATTGCTTTCTAACCTTGAAGATATATAGCATTTCAATATAAATGGATCAAAAGATGCAAAATAATGCTTATTGTTGCCTACTTACAACTTTATTTATACTTTTAAAAGTTTTCACCCTTTTTTTTTAATTGCAAAATCTTTGATCACATCCTCAAAACTAATCTGGCACAACAAATCTGCTTCTGTACTTAGCACAGCCAAGGCATCCAGCCTGTCTTGTTGCATCGTTCCTCCTGCTGCCCCCCCCCCCTCAGTGCTAGTGGTTCCACTGCCTATAATTTTCTTATGAATTGCCATAACAGAAAGGATGACTGAAAAAAAGTATTTCATCCTCAAGGTGCCCCCCCTTCCCTTGGTGCCGTTAAGCACATGCTTATTCTGCTTAATGGTTAATCCAGGGCTACTTTGACTATGTGCCAACCTGACCGAAGATACTCCTGCCTCCCCTTTGCCTTCAGCTGAGACCTCTGGAGGCGTGGCCTAATAGAGCCTTGCAGTTCTAACAGAGGGAACTCTTCTACTGCAGACCAACACGGCTCCCCACCTAAGCTTGCCATTCACAGTAGCTCTCTGTGAAAGGCACCAGCCTGGCATAAGACATGGCTTGACTATTGTGACTGCTTCAGCTTGGCTCCAAGGTCAGAACCTTACACTGAGCTTCTTACTAATGCCTAGTTCACAGGCTGACACAGAGACAGCTCAGTCCCACCTTTGTCTGTCCCTCTGTTGGCTCCAATCACTCTAGACTCTAAAGCAGCCACTAGGAGCCTTCTGCTAATGCTTTCTGCAAAAGGTTAACCCGCTCTATTCCACCTTATTCTAAAGACTAATACACTGACATTTTCAGCAGCCAATCTGCACTCTTTAAAGGATTAACTCTAAGGGGCTGTTGGCATCATAGTTCTCATTTCACAGTGGAGGCATGGCTTGCTGTTGCCACCTCTGGGGAACCTGGAGCTGTAGCCTTCCTGAGGGCACACCTGAGCATTGTGCCCCTCCTCTCAGTTCCATAACAGCCTCTGGAGATGTGCTGTCTTAGGGATCCTCAGCTGTTTCTGTTTTCCAGTAGAGGTAACCAAGCATTTTGAAGACAGTTTTCCTGTCGCTTCCATGTAAGTTTGTGCAAACTTTGACCATAGTTCTTCCTTCCTTCCAAGGAATGACACTATCTTTCTCCAGAGTTCTCAGCCTCATTGCTGCTTCTCATGGGGGAAGATGTTATTTCAACTGAACTCAGCCTGGGGAATTTCAGACAGCCCATATATTCTGGTACAGGAACGGTTCCCTAACGGTTGCTGGTCTGACATTTCAGACAGAACCGTTTTAGTAACGGTTCCCTACTGGAATATATTTTCACTTTCAGACAGAAATGCTTCTGTCCCGTTCAGGAAACGTGGCTGAAGCGTTTTACCTGTAAACTGCTTCCAAGCGGTCTTCAATTTCTTGTACCATTTCTGAAGTGTGATTTCCCGCCCTTTTTTGCCCTCGCGGGCAATTGCTGTTTTTGAACGTTTGTTTTAGAGCGCTATAGTGCTATAACGCAACGCCGAAACAGCACTATAGCAACCCCACTGGAATGCCTGGACTCCACTGGGATACATGAGATGGCTACATCTGACACCTGCAAACAAGTACCCCACTGGATACAGCCTTCAAGCGGGAGATCAGGGCATCAGTGATTGGTGATATAGATGTTGCTAACCCTTCCATGCCCGAAGATGAGTCAGGGGAAGGTGATGGGTTGCGACAAGGCAGTTATGGAGACCATGACTAATAGATCAGTAGCCTCTCACACAGTCACACAAAACCACTGTAACCAGATAAGCCTATCACTCACCAACTTCAACCCACAAAGATAAGGGGCTTGCCTCCCTGTCCTTTATACCTGACCCAGCTCTGTGCCAGTCACTTCCCAGCCAATCGCCTCTTGGCATGGATGGGTGCACATCAGGCTGGGTTAGCAACATCTGTCTCACCAATCAGTGATGCCCTGATCTCCCGCTTGGAGCCTGTATCCAATGGGGTACTTGTTTCCAGGTGGCAGATGTAGCCATCTCATATATTCCAGTGGAGTCCAGGCATTCCAATGGGGTTACTATAGTGCTGTTTTGGTGTTGCGTTATAACGCTATAGCGCTCTAAAACGACCATTTTAAAAAAGACGAAGTTTGCCCGCGCGGGTGAAAAAGGGCGGGGAAAAGCGGTGCAGTCTGAAATGCCAAACTGCTTCAGAGATGGCTCTTTACCGGTAGGGGAAAGGCTTGTGTGAAATGGCAGCCCTGTATCGGTTTACTCCAAGACAGATCAATAATGGCTTAAAACCGGCTTTAAAATGGTAATGTGAAATTCTCCCTTGTCTCTAGAGTCATTCCTAAATTATGCTATTTGCAGATTAAATGGCTCTTCATCTCTAATTCATCCTCTGTAGATGTGAAGGCCCTTTAACTTGTTAATCAGGTCCTTATGATCCTTCTATCATCCCCTTTTGAGGGAGCATGACACTTCTTTAACCCTGCCCTGGAGGATAAACAGCATTGGATAAAGTACAGTTTAGGCCATTCAACTTTTCCAAGGACAGACCGCTTCTGTGCCCAGTAAAGGAAAGATCCACTGGCACTTTATGTTTAACAGTATTTATTTTAATATGAGCTTTTGGGTCACCTGGCTCACTTTTTCAGATATTTCTGTATATCACAGCCTCTGACTATTTTAGCTGATGCACAGCCCAGTTTTTACAAGGGGTTAGTCACCCTGCCTAGGATTTCTGGGGCACAGACCAGTTTTACCCTGCAATTGTCCAGTTTTAGAGGGGTAATGCCCTAATGGGCAGGAACAAGGTCAGCGTTAAATCCTTAGGAGCTACCTCTTCTATTCCCCCTTCAATAACCTGATGTCTCAGGGCTACTGCACAGGTCTTGCAGGCAGAAATGCCAAGTTCTTTCCCCAGAATTCCCAACAAAAAAGTCTCCCATAGCAGACTTGTGAAACATCCTTTATACTCATTTGTCTAATCCTTTTAGTTGATTACTGTACAACAGAGAGTTTCAATGCTGTGGTTGGCTGACTTGTCTGCCACTCATTTTTCATACAATTCCTGTTTCACATCTGTGACTGCTGTGGACTTAGGCCCAACATCTTACTCACCTCG